CCGGTTGTGGATTCCCTGTGAAAATTTATTTGCCTTGGCTTGGGCAACTTGGCAATATTCAGCCCACACGCGAATGGTGAAACGGTTTTCTTTTCCATTTTGTGAAAGGAATCATATGAAAAATTCTTGGGTTGTTGAATAGTTTTACAGCGTGGTTGATCCTCTCATGATTTACTAGAGGTCTTTAGGTTGGGTTTGGGAAATTGACTCCTTAATGTTGGTTTACCTCCAGATCTTTCAAAGTCAAATTTTTACAAGTGACGCTGAATAGCCTCGATCTAAACCTCACTGAAAATCAGTTTCCTGTGCTCAGATGGTTTAACTGAATGTATCTATAACCGGCTACTCTTTGAAAGCCAATTCAAATGTGTAACGAAGAATAGCACAACCAGAGTTAACATCACAAACTTGATACTTTCGATTTCTAAACAAGTAACCGACAGTCAATCGAATGTTCTTATACACTTTCCCTATCTCTGTGATGTTCAAAAACGGCACTGTTATGCGCCGTCCATCACTTTTGCGATGATATAATCTCGGCCCAGTTTTCACTAACCCGATGCGGAATGCACATGTACTACAGGCCAGTCAATATCTGTGCAATCCGCACTCGGTTCGATTGCGTACAGTTTGGTGGGCTAGGAACCAATTTATGCAGTTTCGATTGGAAAAATGACCCGGTGAATTTGGCACGCGCATGCGGTTTGTCCTCATCTCTCGTTCCATCTCGGTTTATTGCTTCGTTCGGGTACGAGACAAGCAAACAGGGAGACTTGAGGTCAGAACAAGAACAACGCTACTGAGTGTTTCCTCCGGTTCGAGTCATGCCAGACACAAGGGTGATTTGAGGATGAATACAACCTATCCTAAAGTGGTAGTTTGAATGTAACATCAGTAAAATTAAAGCTCATGCTACAAGCGTTAAACGCAACAACGGAAGATCCCAAAATCCAATCAGTCCTTAATAATCTAAACGAATGATGGGACTCTTGTTCTACTTTGAATGAACTAGGCAACCGAAGCACAGACATTCATCAAGGGTAAGTAACTTTACAAACGTGTAGCCTTTTCACCCCAATCAGGACATGTGCGCATGTGTGGTGAGGTATCCAGGAACGAAAAACTACTTTTTTCGGAGCAGTGATAGAATGTTAGTGGGGTTTTTCCCCTAGAAGCGTGATAATCTACCATTAGATTCTGCTCTGATCCTTCCTTTTTTAACAATCATAATCAAACCGTGGGACAATTTGGACCAAATGATACTTGGAATGACACTGGGTAGATACTGTTGTGGACTATAACATGGGCCGAAAACTCGTATGTTTGAATCCTACCACTCCTCTTGGCTCATTTTCTTCGCCTTGTGTTTTTGAAAATTACTTCTTACAACTATATTTGGCTGAAGTCATTTTCACCTGTTCTCCCAACCGTGTTATCAGTTTACGAAAATTTCATCATCACCACCCCAGATGACATCTTCAGGCCGTACCCGCAAGTCACTGAAACTATCGATTCGGCTGATGATAACCAAACGTTCGTAATCAACTCGGTGAACTGATAAAAAAAAGTGAACTTTTCGTGCAATGGTTACCGAATGTGAACTAAAACCTAGTGAGGATGGGGACAAGGAGCAACCCACTGGCCAGTGGAAAGGAATGCCAGCCTTTAATCGTTCCTTTAAGTTGAGTTATTCGTGCCAAGGGATTCGGGAAGCATGGGACTAGCAACTCGTTATGACATTGTGTTTAAGCTTGAACACATACTTAGAAATATCATTTTCACTGGTTATGTGATATGCATTAAAGCGAGTGTTAGTGTTAGTGTGGCATCATTTGTAATCAGTGAGAATGTAAATTATCTGATATACTCATGAAGTAGCTAATTTAACAGTCGTTAGGAATGCACCGTTTCTGCAATTAGAACGTTCACTGTATTGGACAGTCTTTTTTGTAAGGCTATTCCGTTTCACTGTCACAACGTGCATTGTGCTATTGTGAAAAAATCCTTATGCCTTGTGAAATGCAACCAACTTCATCTTTATTTTGGAGATCGTTTGGTGGAATCTAGTTCTATCGCGTTAAAGAAACGAGAACGGGGTGGAGTGGAGCTCCCTGGAACTGTTTCGAGCTGGTATAAAATGAAGAAACACGTTCAGGGACTGGTATACTGTCTCCCAGTTGGAAGCACTGTCGTATTTAGAGGCCACCACGGGACTATTCTGTAGAATTAAATTACGAAACCAGTTTGTTAGGTCGAGTCTGATCCCTAACAGTGAACACAACCCAAAATTAATGTTCAATCATTATTGGTTTTCAGTTCTGTCTCGGCCACTTCCACTTATTTACCTGCCACACGATGTACTGATGGCCTCTATCACTTATTTGTTTCCAAGTCTATGTATTTTTATCTTTTTGTTCGTTCCACGAGTTGAACCGAGGTTAATTTTGAATTATTTCGCAGTTTTGTTTGCGTGCGCGAGATCGCCAACCACGTCAAACACATTCTGATTCTCTATGACATCCCGTTCACATGAAACTTCAGTGAAATCAATGTGTTCCCATTTGGCGAAATTTGGGATCTATGTGTTTTACAGTACGTTGTAATGCAATCGAGATGAACTTCTGAGCTCAGTAGTTTTCCTTCGGTCTGGGTACGTCTTCCAGTGTTCACAAGCGAGTGCTAAAACGTGTCGGGCTCGATTAAAGTTTATCTGTGTATCACATAGGCACAAACGGTCGAGTTTAATGCAATTTCCATCTTTAAATCTTCTCTCTCCGAACCAGCTCAATGATGTGTCCATGCAACGTGAAGTTGCGGATCGCCGAGCCGACCGTTTGGATCAGCGTGTTTCTGAACTGTTGGACAGTCGAACCACGTCCGATGCACGAGAACGTGAAATGGTCATGGAGTTGAAACAAGCGATCCAAGGTTGCGCGGAAACCGAAGCGAAGGTATATCTGCGCGTTTTGATCAGTCCCGTAATCGGATTTTATAAAATGTGATTGTTTGGTTTCTCCCTCTCATCTAGGATGATCGAACACTTCAACATTCTTCAGTCATGGTTGCTTAATTAATTTTAACTAGTCATCTCAATTCACAGTTCATCCGTTCACATTCGTAAATTGGAAAAGCATTATAATTGAGTTTCACACTTTTTTAAATTTTTACTTCCTTTTATTGAATACACAATGATGCAATTTTCGGGAAGGGGGAAGCTGCCAATCAAAGGGCTACCATGGGGAAAGTCAGGCAGTGGTGGTGGGGTTCGAACACACGTCCTCCGAGGTGGTAATTTAGTGACGTTACCACCGGGCCACCACCGCCTTGTCACTTATCAGAGCTCTTCCAACATTCGA